GGTGGCAGCACGATGAACTAGTTGGATAAGGGCAGCAGAAGCGGCTCCAGCCCATCTCGCGAGGCCGGATAACATACAGCTGGCGGTTGGTCCGGTCGGGTCTCTGACACGGTATTAAGACGTCCAGCCAACTCAACTATCTCGCCGCAACGGCGCATCTCGTGCGCGAGATGCAGTGTGTGTACACAGGTAGGGTCTCTGCGCCCAGCTACCCCAGTCTCGTAAGCAGATACGATGCATGGCCGTATTTCTGGGGCCGAACATTACATTCGCTGAGTAGTTCATAACTTTTTCGGCGAGACGGGTTGTTTTTGGTACTCCTACTATATGCTGGTATACAGAAGCGGGTCTGCGAGAAGACGGGGGCGCCAACCGGCTCGGAGGTGGTGGTACGTCTTAGCGCCATACGCCCTGTGAACAAAAGAACATCTTGTGGCAACCAGACAGATCATGAAACTGGCACCAAGAAGATGAGGTAGAGGTATTCCAAAACTGCTGGAGCCAAAGACAAGACATTGCAAGCATAGTGTGGGGTCCATGGAAATAATGAGCTGATGTCGCGCAACAACGGAATGGCTGATCATTGCAGTGAAAATAATGTAAGCTGGTGTGAACGTAATCGCACCTTAAATATTACCCACTGGTTCTGGAGAGAACAATGTATGGCAAGCACAATCACAAATCACCAGCATCTTAATGGTTTGGGGAGTTTGAATTGGCACATGGCGGCGACAAGTGATCATAGCACAGAAGTCTACCCCCAGGTGGTGGGCCTAAAAAATTGTCGGCCTCGGTTGAACACGTGCCTTGCGTTTTGCAAGATCCGAAGGCCGTGTAAGATGCCAAACGAGCGGGCATCGCCCTTACGTTTTTTTTCCTTTTTGCTGCTGCCTACCGGTCGGTGTCCGGTGGTCGCACCGGAGGCAATTCTGTGCCTGCTGTGGTGTGCATCAGTATGTCGTTCACTGGGGTTTAGCCATTGGCTGACCGCACTGCCGCAGGTCATTGCATGTCAAATGATTTTAAATGTCAGCCGAGCTTCACAGTGGACATCATGCGTGTTTAGATATGTACAGACCGTACCCCTTCAGGGGCACATGCTCTCTCTTATAAAATCATGACATATATTGAGATGTGGGTGAACGCATGTTGAAAATTAAAAATCCGAGGACAGCAGGCAAAAGCAAACAAATCGAAAACATATGTTCTATGCCATGGAAGGAATGTTGTGCTCTCCTTTACCATAGATTGTCTTTATCCATGGTATGGTAAGCCTTTAGCACTCATATATACATACATGCGTTTCATGTCATAGAGTTTGAGACTGCACTGTTTCAGTGTATCATGTTTAAACTGATGTCTTCTTTCACTTGCATTCTTTTACATGAATTGCTGTATATCAAACATGGCCTTCTGTTAAGTACCAACCATTGTACTAAAATCTCCCAATGGTAAGCTAACTAACTGTAATGACCCACAGCACTTTAAAAAACCGCTACCAGGAACTTTTTTTGAAATTTCCAACCCTGCATAATACTGTCATGAAATTACTATGCTTTAACATGCGCCCGGTTGGCCGGCTAGATATCCTTCGCTCGGGTGTGGGGGGGGGGGGGTAATTTAAATCCCCCTCTGAGTATTCGGGAACTAAGAAAGGTAGAGACACCAAATTTACAGGGTGTCTTGACCTATACGTGAACTCACTTAGGTTAGGGTTCCAGCTTCCTAGGTTATGACCTTCGGGTCGAATTAAGTCGAACAAGGTCAAATTTCAGGTTGGTTTTCAAAGCGCTCTCCGAACCTAGGCAACTGTCTCTGAGCAAAAGGTCACAAGCCCATTTGAGGTCATTGACCTTGTTCGACCCTTTGAAGGTCGTTGTGACCAAAATGATACGAGACTGTTCTGCGTTTTCATTTGAATAAGCGACAAAGATTACGCTAAACAGTATGTTCCTAAAACAAAACGTTCGACCCGGGTCGTCTTAGGTCAATGGCCTGTTCTGACCTTTAAGAAGTCAATTGAAAGTGTATAATGCGGTTCCTGCTGTCAATGAATAAAAATGAGCACCAGAAACTATCCCATACAGTAACCCCTAGAGTAATAAATCAGGTTGGTTTTTACTTGGCCTGAGCATCATACCTGGTCAACGTAATTTGCTCATTCCGTATTTGCGGTGCCTAAGAAAGCATCTCAGATGTTTATGTTCTCGTCAAGCACTCCGTTGTTGTATCAGATTGAACGATTCCCTAGAAATTGCCTTCGTTGAAACCATGGGCTGACTTTGACCTGTCATAGGTCAGCGACGCTACAAGGTACATCTAAAATAGGTATGTCAAAAGATCTGGTATGCAATTTTCCACAGCTATGCAAAATGTGGCGCGGCTACGCCGCGCTGTTCAAAAACCATTCGGGAAAAGCCCTCGGGGGGGGGGGGGGTAACCTTGCCCCCACCCCACCCGATCGCGTGTTAATGTATTCTGTTTCACTTTAATGGCCTAAGATGTTAAAAAACGAAATAGTTTTGTCAGGTTTCTGATATTACGTCCATGCGAACTTGAAATAGATGTCTTTGTTTGCTGACGCATCCGTCACGAGCTCAAAAGTTCCGTCTTTTGTGAATGGATTTTTTCATTCCCGCACGGTCTTTTGCGATGGAATTTTTCTCTCACACCCTAGTTCAAAAGCGATTCTAGCTCCCTGATCTGAAGTACTAATCTGAAAGTCTTGCAAAGTGCTCATGTGCCACACCCTTGGAAAACCTTTCTTACACTGTTAACCCCATTTCCGTGGCTTCTTTGTTTGCTTATGTAGCCTGAAAAGCCAATGCAACGATAACCTTGTCTTCTTTAACCTGGCATGATATCAGAGGCCAGTGCGTCGATTTCCACTAGTGTCAACCTGATTGAACCTTTTCAAGGCCTGTTAATTCTGTTTTGTGCATTGTTCAGCCATGACTACTTTCTGAGAACGTTATATAGTGCATTAAGCATCTGCGATTAGTCAAATGGCGGACAAAGGAGTAAATTTGCTTTCGGTGGAAGCCATATTGGCCCAGTGGGGTAATATACATAAAATGACGCTCTGCCTGGCCCGTTTAATCTATCAATTTATACACTGATAAATGATATGGCTATGGGTCTGAATGATAACATGAGCTGCGCTGATAAGATGCTACGGAACCGCGATGAAACGTCTTCACCGGCAAGGAGCAACGTACGTCTTTTCACATTGGGAGGGAAAGGGGATGGCAAGGCTAAATTTTCAGAAAGCTGTGGGTCTCACTCAACCTCTGCCCCATCCCCGGCTCCCGCGCTCCCAAACTTTACGGCGGTGCAGCGCAAGGTACGTAGGGAACTTGCATAGCAATGGTCGTTCACGAGGGCGCCAGTTATTGACGTATGATCTCTCACCCATTGTTTCATTCAGGTGTTGTAGTGGTGTTACGACATTGCTCCCCCTATCCAACATTGGCGGCGCTCCGCCGGTCAGGACAAGCGGCGGGTCTCACCTGCGATGGCAGATAGATTACGATTACGGCCTTTCATGCGAAAAGCTAAGCCCAAGCAGTGATAAGAAACTGTTTCGACTTGATTATGCCTGAATGTTTGATTTGAAGCGCTGGGTGTAACTATGTCGACGAGTAATGGAAAAGACAGACAGTTTCAGATTGGAGGTCTTGTTGATACAAAAACAACTTTTCCCTCAGTGATTTTAAAACAATTCGACAGCTGGAAGCTCACTAGCAGAAAGCACAACTGCTGAAAACAGCATGTTCCCGCGTAAAACGCCTCCGTCACGCAGAATATATCCGCGTAGAATATTTCCGCGCAGAAGATCTCCGCGCTAACTGACGTCATGACATTCCGCAAACATGCAAGTTTATCGCACTAGATCAGCATTGGGAGATTGTCTCTTTGCCGATGTAAACCATATATGTCCACTGCTCCAATGGTACGGGCACGGGCGTAATCAGATCTTTGAAATTGTCGGGCGGGCGATAAAGTCGGATTGGTGGGATCACACTGGTATCTAAGCGGCGACAATATGTCCTAAAGATAACACTGAAAAAATGTGAGAGCGTGTGTTTAACGGCAAAATATGAGGGAACAAAATTTCATTTTAAAACAGCGAAATGAGAAGCGTGACAGCTGTTGCTTTTAAGGCAGATGCACCAGCCAAATGGACGTGACTCAAGTGTGTGTGATGCGATTTAAGCACAGATACCTGATCCCAACACGGAGCTCAAAACAGGCCGCTCGCAGCTCCGACTGACCCTCCACGCCTGCTTTGTCACAGGCGCGGGGACGCCCGCACGAGCTTGGTACGGCCGTCTTCGTGCCGGTAAGCCGAAGAGAGACAGTGGTCGGTGTCTGCCTTGCAACGGTGCCATCCCCCCCCCCCCTCCCCCGCCCTGCCCTCCAGAGCTCACAGAAACGAGCCACCCCGACTCTCGTGCCGGTGCCGACAGATGGTCTGTCGGTATTGATAGACTATCAATCCTGCAGGCCCCGTGTCACGGCCAACTGTAATCTAATCACCTATCTATCTATCTGGATTCTTGAGTCCGAGCTGGCGCGGTAGCGGAATCAAGCCTGCGTCGTGACTGGTGAAGTGGATCCTGTTACTCGCACCTGCTACTGGTGGTACGTTGCCCTGTCATTTCTGTCGCCCAAAGGTAAAAAGACATGAACGCTAGCTTTCGAAAATGGAGTTATTTATATCATGTAATCTAGTTCCGTGTTGTAAATGTTTGGCTACTGAAGGAAATGTATCTTGTAATATGAATGTCCGAAAGTTGGAATAACTGGCATCCAAAATATGTCCATTTTTCGAGGCATTCTGAATTATATGAAATTCGCCGAAACCTAAGATGCTTTCTCCTCAACAATGCGTCCCTTCGGACTTAGTCCTTTTTGCCCTTGGACGGCAGAGTTTCTCACCGCACCCTGGCGTCCATACTTCTAGTCGGGCAGCCTGGGGCCTACTGCTTCACAATCCCATGGTTAAGTTCAGGTGGGTGGTTCTCGGCGGCGGATTGAAATATGTAAAGCACGCGCAGCGCATAAACCAAATCTGTGTACATGCAACCAGAAACTCGGAATCTCGGTAATAGATGCATGGGTGTGGGGAAAATACAACGTGGCTCGGGCTAGGGCCCACTTCACAACACCCATGGCTTGGGGCTATTGGAGAGGATGCAAACAGCTAAACCCGGGTAATCCTGCGGCATGATACGCGCAGGATGTGAAAATGTCATCAACCACCTACGCGCAAGCACGCGCAGTGCGGTTTGCCGCGGTATCACACTGTTGTCCAAGCTCACAGCGTAGTTTTTCCTCATTGTTATTCGGTATGATCGTTTGTGCCATGTGACTTACGCCATTGGCCATACATTATTGACAAGTATTGTCCAATGCTTTTATTAGCGCGTTGCGAGCTTCCTCAGCCATATTTTGGGGTCGTCTGAAATTGGTTGTCTGGGGTGCTGACATTTTCAACAGTGACCGAATATCTCAACCGTGCATGTCATCGAGTCAGATGCCGTGTTGTGTGTACGCGCCAGGGGAGGTGACAGACGGCATATTCGGCGCGCGCGCGGGCGGTATGGGGGCGCCCAGCCAGCAATTTTGGTTCAATCTCAACTCGTAGTATCGTGGCATAGCGGATGCCCAGCGACATCTGTGATGCGTTGGGCAACCAACGAGTCGCGGTGGCGCTACGAGCGCCATATGTTACGGAGTGTCGGGCGCGTGGCTCGACGGGGCACACGTTTGTTTTGACCTCGGCCAATACAGAGACAGCGTTCGAGTACGAAATCTGCGCATGTTGAAGCGGCGATCACGATGTAACACTTGGCGACGAGGATGGGATAGTGAACGGGATCGTCGCGTGAAAAGTGGTGCGGAGGAAGAGTGCGGGTACCCGGCTACAGTTTGGTAGCGGTGCCAGTGCGGGCAAGATGGCGGCAGCCGTGGGACGCGGACATTGTTGATACGGCGGTGTTTTGCCGGGGCAGGAGGTAATTTGGATCCGGAGGGCCGTTGTGTGTTGCCCAGGGAGTGAGGGCAAGGTGTGCGCTGGGAACGTGGTGTGCCCGGGGAGTAGGGCAAGAGACCCGTCCCAGGATCGCCGCTTGGCGGCGGGGTGTGGACGGCGGCCATTGTCCCAGCGCCGCCGCGGCGCGAAGTAAGTGCCGCGGTCGGTTCGGCAGAGGCGCCACCATCGGGTGACGTAGCAGCGGGCGATCAGCTGACCGGCGGCCGGCGGAACGACCCTTGGATCAGCTGACCGGCGGCGGAAGCCATGGAGGCGGGTTTGGCGTTGCCGGGGGTGGCACAATATCGTCCAGGGGAAGACTTCCGAAGATGGGTAAAAAGTGTGGAAAGATATATTACGGCAGTGAACATTAGGGCACCAGAACGAAAGTGCGCTGTGCTGTTGCACCTCGTGGGGCCTGATGTGGCCGAACCGTACGAAACCCTGCCAGAGCCCGAGGGGGCGTTAGAGGACGCGTTCGAGAAGTGCAAAGTTGTCAGCTACGACACAGCGTTACCTGGCGGTGCCCGGCAAGGAACGTCATCGCCGAGCGCATGGCGTCACACAAGGGATGGTGGTGCAAGAAGGGGAAGACCTTCGAACACCTTCCTGGGTTCGCCTCAATGTTAAGCTGCGCCAGTGTGGTTACCCAGACCTGCGGAAATGGTCGGGAGCTCCGCGATCGCTGTGTGGCGGGCTGCAGCGGCCCTCTGCGGGAAAAGCTTTTCCGTAAGGCAGCGACGCGGGGTGACGCCCTGACCCTGGCGGAGGTGCGCGCCGTCGCGCGTGCTCACAAGGACGCCGGTGACCTGGCAGAGCAAATGGCAGGCGGCGGAACGAGCCCGGCCGACAGCGGAGCTCGGGCGGAGGAAGCGCTGCCGATGCAGGCACTGCGGCAGCGGCCGGCGTCGGGCCGACAGCCACCGCCGGGCCAGTGCTACCGCTGCGGGGAGGCAGGCCACTGGCGGCGAGACTGCCAAGTCGGGCAGCGGGGACCCCGCCTGTCCGATCGGGACCGGCAGCGGAGCGGCCCAGCTGGACCGCGGGGGCCCCAGGCGGCCCGGCAGGACAGCAGCGGAAGGAGCAGCGGGGATCGCCGACTGGCCGGACGAGGCACTACGGCGTCGGACAACGAGCCGCCGATCCGGCGCTGTTTCAAGTGCGGCGACCCCGGCCATCTCAAGAGAAACTGCCCGCTGCGGGGACAGGTGGCATCCGTGGAGGAGGACGTCGTGTTGACAGTGGCACCGGCACAGTTGCGGCAGCGGGACCGGTTGCCGCTGGTGACGGTGTCAGTTAGCGGGAAGCTGCTACCGATGCTGGTTATACTGGATCACCGGTATCGATCATGACCGCGAACTGCATCCCCGGACTGAAGCTGACTGCATCGGAGCTGCGGCTCAAGTCGTTCACGGGCCAGCCGGTGGCGGTGCGAGGTGAAGCAGCGGTCGACGTCGAATATAACGGACAGCGCAGACGCCTGAGCGCGGTGGTGAGCGATCAGTCAGGACACCATCCTGTCCTGGGACGTGACTGGCTGCGGGAAATCCGGCTGGATTGGCAGTCAGTGCTACGGATCGGCCGGACGAGCGAGGCACGGACGCTGGAGGCTGTAGTGGCGGCGCACTCGGAGGTGTTTTCCGAGAAGCTGGGGAAGATGGCGCTGCAAGCTCCCTGACTCTGAGCCGGGAGCGACGCCGCGCCGGCTACTGCCCGCCCCGTCCCGTCGCGCTCTCTGCTGCCGCAGGTGGACGCGCCGATCTGGAGCGGGGTGGTCAGCGAGGCATCGCTAGGAAGTGGACCCGTCAGAGCGAGTCCCGGCTGGGGCACGCCTCTGGTGCCGTGACGAAGGCGTCTGGAGGAGTACGGCTCTGCGCGAGTTATAACCTGACGGTGTTAACCCGCAGCTGATCGTCAAGTATTCACCCTCTACCGAGGCCGGAAGACGTTTTTTGTTTTTTTTCTGGAGTCCACGGGCGGCTATTCTGCAAGCTCGACCTGCGGCAATGCGTACCAGCAATGGCGCGGATGACTCCTCACAGGCGATGACGACTGTCAGCACGCACCGAGGCGAGTTCGTCATGCAGAGGCTGCCGTTTGGGCATCGCCAGCTCGGGAGCGCTCTTTCAAGAGGCCATGGATAGGGCGCTCGAGGGACAGGAAGGCTGCATGTGGTACCTCGATGACCTGCTGGTTTTCGGTGAAGAGGAGCAGCACTGCTTCCAGCGACTGGATAGGTCCTGAGCAGACTGAAGAAGTTCGGACTGCGGTTGGCTGCGCAGAAGTGCAAGCTGATGGTGCCGGAGGTGAATTCCTAGGGTGGGAAGGTGACGGCAGACGGCATCACCCAACCACCCGACGGAACAGCGGCATCCGAGGCGGTGCTGAACGGGCCGGAGCCGAAGGATGTCAGTCACTGCGGTCACTGCTCTCCGGCTCGATCACGTACTTCGGACCGCCTTCTGCCCGACATGTCCACGTGCTGGCGCCGTTTACGCGCTGATGAAGAAGGGGGCGCTCC